AGCACTGGGCAGGGCTATTCACCGGCTTCGAGCCACTCAAGGTGCTGGTTGCTTCAGTTATGCCAATTGTTGGGCTCTGCGAGCTAGGGAATTGCCCTCAAACTACGGGTTGCGGGATTCTAAGAGGGACAGGGCGGCCTACGGTTGGGGCACATGTGAATCTTGGGTCGTTTTATTTTGTTGGGACGCCTGTGGCGGTTGGACTAGCGTTTTGGTTGAAAATAGGGTTTAGTGGATTGTGGTTTGGGTTGCTTGCGGCTCAAGCGGCTTGTGCAGTTTCGATATTGTATGCAGTTTTGGCAAGGACGGATTGGGAAGGAGAAGCAGTGAGGGCTATGAGGATGACGAGTTTGGAGATGAGGAAAGTTGGGAAGGATGAAGAGTCATCGTCGTTGTTGGATGATCGCAATGGGAGTGATGAGAAGTTGGGTGGTGTTTTGTAATAAATTGTGGGGGTAAAACTAAAACAGACTTCAGAGACTTATTGTTGTTTGGTTGATCTTGCGAGTATTGTTGAGTGCTCGACTTGTCTATGTTTTGTGTTTTTTAGTGCATTTGCTAATTGGAATCTTGCGTGGAAGTTAAATCATTTTTTTAAATCTTGACTTCTGATTAATAATACTACTTTTAAAAAGAATATTGGATATGACATTTCGTCAGAAATGGTGAAAATGAATATAATAAAAGCTTGTATGAAATCTCTTTGGTCATATTAAGCCAAATACCATTGAATACATGCATGCATATGGATCAACAATTGATGCTGAGGTATTAACCTACGATTCTGTACTAGTTTATCAGGTAAAAACTGATGGTGTTTTGAAGAAAAATATTGGACTTTAAAATACATTTTAATCATATATAGAAATATTAACCTACTATTTGATTTGTGATTTTTCTTTTTATAACAAGTTATAAAAGGTGGATTGTATCACAAGTTATAGACAACAAAGAGCTTCATCATCTTCTTCTTCGAAGGTAGTCTTCTTACCGCAGAAGACTGCCTCCTCCTCTTTATTCAGCCCGGATTTGCTCGGCAAACCATAGCCTTCTCTTCGAAGCTTGTCTTCATACCTGTAAATAATATCAAAAACCCTTATCATATATACCCCCAAAACTTCACCAATGTGCTTTTGATAATAAAAAGCAAAAAAAAGCTTACCAAAGCTTCTCCGCAAGATCTGCAAAGTTGCACCTAATAAACAAAAGTTGGTAGCGTTAATCTTCTTCTGGTTATGGCATAAAAAAAAACACTATACCATTAAGTTTAGAGAAAACTTTACTTGGGTCGGAAAAGGTATGGAGCTTTCTCGGCCACCTTGACATAAAAAGCACTACCATTCTTCTCTTGCACAGCCTGTAGTATAAAAAGATTTAATCAGCAATACCATTCTTCTCTCGTATACACTACTTTTCATCATCACTATAAATGACTCTCACCTTCTCTGCTTCCTCAGCAGAAGAAAACTCAACAAAGCCACAGCCCAGAGACTCACCCTTATGGTCTACTATAAGTCGAACACGAACAACTTCACCAACATACTTGAAGATTTTGATGCTGTAAAATAAAAAAGATAAAATATTAGTTATCAAAAACTTGCTCCAAGAACGAAAAGAGAGACATTAAAAGGTGCTATTTACATATTTAACATGCTACAATTGTCTTTTGTCATAGAGAGACTGGCAAAAAAGACCGTCGTTTTCATCAAGTTAACATCCTGAGTTTAACAGCCAAGTGTGTTAGCAACAAAGAGAAGAAGACTCATCCCAGAGACCGTCGTCTGGTTCTTCTGAGCCTGACATATTTAAGAAGAGGTGTACCTCAACAAAATCGGGAGTTTCTGCTGCTGCATGTTCTTCTCGTTGTAGGTAGTCTTCGTACCTGGAATATCAAAATTAAACCCTTGTGATCTACACCAATACTCTTGATAACAAACTCAAGATGCAAAACAGTTAAAAAATCTCTTACCAAATCTTGTGATCTACGCAGTGCCTAATTAACAAAAATATAATGGTGTTAGTCTCACCAAAACTATAACAATAAGTTGCAAAGTGTTTACATAAACAAATCTCCATAACATTGGAATATCAATTTACCTGGATAGTATAGTGTATTTAGCTTCCGTGACAAAATCAAGAAAAATATCTCTATCGAACAAATATTCGCCCTTCTTTTCCAGCGCCTACAGAAGAAATATATATAATTATTATTCTCATCATAAGTGTATACTCTAGTTTACAATGACTACTAAAAGAATTTTCATCATTACTAAAAAAAAACTCGCACCTTCGCTGCTTCGTTAGCAGAAGCAAACTCAACAAAGCCACGCCTCAAATGCTTGATCTTGTGGTTTACGATAAGTCGAACATGAACCACTTGGCCAACATCTTTGAAGAAATTGATGCTATAAAGATGGATGGTAAAATATTTTCATGAAAAACATTTCTCCGAGAACAAAAGTGGTGGTTCAAGGTGCTACTTACATATCTGATATTTTAGTCTGGCCAGAGAAATGGGTAACACAGATCGTCTTATTTCTTACAGTGGCAACTGCCTGAATATAACAGGCAAGTGTATCAGCATGACTCTCAGGATTAAATTGCATAACAATAAAAAAGCAGAGCCAATCCAAAAGTAAGACATCTTTCGACTTTGTGTGCAACAATGGTTTTATTGTAAAGGCTAAGCGTGACATATTTTGAGGGTAATAAGAAGAGATACCTCAGCAAAATTGGGAGTTTCATCCGGTCTTTTCATCAACAAGATCTTATGATCATGCAAATATTCACCATTCTTATTTTCCAGTGCCTGCGGTATAAAAGATTTAATCAGCTATGGAACTACTTTTAACACTTATTTCATAATTACTAGAAAAAAAAACTGATCACCTTCTTAGCTTGGTTAGCAGAAGCAAACTCAACAAAGCCACAGCCCACATGCTTACCCTCTTGGTTTACAATAAGTCGAACACTGACAACATCTCCAACATCTTCCAAGAAATTGATGCTGTAAAAGTGGATGGTCAAAAAAAATCAGTCACGGAAAACTTGGGTCAGAGAATGAAAACTGATACTTACATATGTAATATTTTAGTTGTTTGTGGAGAGAGATTGGCAACAAAAAGAACGGTAGCATCCTGAATTAAACAGGCAAGTGCGTTAGCAAGACTCTCAAGGAGAAAAGGACTTACAAAATCTCATAACAACAAAAAGTAACAAAATAAGATTTATATTCGACTTCGTGTGTAAAAGTTGTGATATTAAAAGGCTAACCGTGACATATTATGAAGATAATAAGAAGAGATACCTCATCAAACTTGGGATATTCTTGTATCCTAAGGCTTTCCTGTTGAAGATAGTCTTCTTGGTCCCTGGAATACATTAAAAAACACATTTGTGATATCTCCCAAAAAAAAGCTGCACCCAATGTGATCTTCTAAAGAGGCAAATAGTAAAATCACTTACCAAACCTTGTGATCTATGCAATACCTAATTAAGAAAAACAATAGTGTTAATTCACCAGTAGTGGCATAAAAACTCTTAAAGCAATAATAAATATGAATGAATATACTTGAGTGAAAGGCGTAGAGCTCCCTTATGAGCCACATCCAGGAAAATCTGGCGTTTGAGCAAATATTCATTCTTCTTCTTTTCCAGTGCCTAGAGCATAGAAGATTAAAATAGCTACATGTATCATCATAAGTAAACACTACTTCATAAGTAATATGAACTAGTCTCACCTTTTTTGCTTGGTCAGCAGAAGCAAATTCAACAAAGCCTTGGCCCACACACTTTCCCTTCTGGTTAGCTTCAAGTAGAACACGAACCACTTGTCCAACATCTTTGAAGAAACGGATGCTGGAGGATGAAATATATATATATATATATATATATATATATCAGTCATGAGAAATTAAACTAGTTCAAGTGAAGGGTGCTACTTACATATCTGATATTTTAGTTTGGTGAGGGAGATTAGAAACAGAGAGCGTCTTTTTAAGTTCCTTCTGCTCCCTATGTCCCTTCAGAATGGGCTCGGTCTCCACTGTCTCCTGGCCATAATAAGAACCAAATAAACTTAACTGAAGAACATAAAAGCATATATATTCAAACTTGCAGAAAATTATACCAAATTAGTCTCAATATCAGACAACAACTCAACCCTTGCTTCGATCTCCTTGTCCTCAGGTTTTTCTTTATGTTTCTTCAGAACCGGTTCGGTCACCAAACCATCTTCCGGCTTTCGCTTACACAATAAATTAGCTTGCTGGCTAGAACTGGCCATGGAGAAGGTGAAACACAGCTACGGTATAAGCGCTGAGCTGAGAACAGTAATAAGTTAATAAATAAAATAACACAGATAATTTAGAGCAGAAATTAATCAACAGTAATAAGTTAAAACCCTAGACAATTATCTAGTTTTGGGCTGCCTTGGGCTATTTTTTTTTATATTTTCGTTCTATGCCACTATTATTCGTTTTAGTTTGTAAAAAGGATGATTGATATCATTGCACTTTAAAAAAGTCTTTTAACTTTTAATCATATTTTAAAATTTGATCCACACTTTTCAAATTACAAAACTATCTCTTTTATTCAAATTATATTTCCATATGTAAATTTATATACGTTTAAGGTTTCTAGTGTAATATATATTTAAATTTGTATATCAGTATGACTTATTTAATTATTTAATCCATCTACGTATGACTTAAGATCCTTCTATATTAGTATATTAGTGTGGTCCTTGTTCCACGAATGTCAATCTCAGGAGATATTAGCAGCTTTATCTTCTGAGTTCTGTTCAAACGATCTAACATTCATCACTTGTTACTGTGCTCAGTGCTTTTATAATCCAATAATCTAATTTTCTATCCGTTTGTTACCGAACCTTTTTTTTATTACAGGCATTACAAATCAACTACACGCTAACTTGAGACAATAAGCAACGACATACACAATCTTAGTATCTCTCCAGCGTATGATATAACGTGAGGAGGGGGTTAGGCGATAGAAGGCACGTGATAGTATTTGCCTTTGCACAAGCACTTGTAAACGACAGGACAAGCCTCGGACCCAGAGGCGGAGCACTTGGAACTGACCACAACCAGCTTGCATGGTGTACATGGTCCACAGGCGTGCGAGCAGTCTGGTATGCTTGATCCACTTGCCACATCTACAACCTCGCAATAAGAATAAACAACCAAATAATCACTCGTCAACAAAGACTCACTATACATTATATAATAGTTTTGATCGTCTCTTATATTGAATATGCTACTACCAAGTAATACTCACAATCCAATCTGAAACTATTACTACTATCAGAGAGATGGAGAAGAAGAAGAAGAATCGCGAATAAAGATACCAATTTCATTTGAAAATTAGTTATGATTTGGGGTGGTTCTCCTATAAAAACTCTTCTGAATGGAAGAAAATGTTATGATGAGATGAAGATAAATTAAGCTATATAACGTGAGTGAGAGTAACATTTTAAATGAAATAGTGTTAGATTCACATGTTTCATCCTTTTCTTTTCAAAAGGCTTTCACATTCTTTGATCCTTATCCATTAATTTGAATCTTCTTACTGTTTAGTTTCTATTTCTAATTTCATATTTTAACGATACACTGGCAGACACATATATATGTATGACGACTTGTTATCATCAAACTTTCATCAAGTCCTACCTGCCATCAAGTGTGACTCCATGAAAACTTGCTTGTAATGAAGTCCCTACTCTTCGTTACAACCACATTGGTCATTCTCATTTACTTCCAAGTTCCAACATAACCGTTTTAGCATTTTTCACATGAATTTTATAATATTACTATTATGAAATAAAAATAAAAATTTCATCTAGTGAAGGAATTTTGATGCAAATATTTTAGCTATAAATATAATCTAATGAAAATAGTAACGGTTAACTAGCACGACATGTGTCCGTATCATATGAGACCTGAGCCTGATCCAGATATGTTATCAACAAATCATGTCAAGAAGACGGATTTGCGACCAATCATTTATGTCTTTTAAGAAGTTGATTATTGACATTGTTCAAAAATCGACAAGGTTCTAACGTGATAAGAAAGTGGATAGTTAAGTCTGACAAATTCACTTACAATTAAATTAGAACATAACAATGTTAAAATTTTAACTATACTTCTAATTTAGGATCTATAATTTCAAAATAAAAGTTAAACATACATAATTGGAGCTATCAACTTTAAAATTATAATCATCATTTTTGAGATATGCCATTAACTTTTTTTCTGAAGCAGGTCTAAAATTAAATAATTTGAAATGGTACATCGTACTGTAATGTGTTATTTTTATGAATCTAGAAGACTTTCACTTTTCTTGTATTGCTGACCGTTGTTTATATACTTTTCATGCACATTTTAAATAATTAATTACTTTTGTCTCAAAATGAAAATTATATCATTATATATGCATGTCATTATATAGTACATTAAACACTACCCAACAATTACATAGTTGACAACAATAATAATAAACACACATTTTTGTTCTAACAATGCAACTCATAATCCCTATTAATCCTATCTTCGTCCTTTTTGTTTTGCTTCTTGTTGGTCTCAAGATATACGAAGCTTTGATGATCCTTATTTGACAACCACTTGTGCTGACCAGAAGATTAAAAACAACAAGGAATCAGCCCAAAATACAGATTCTTGTACGGAGACCTCTTGGAGATAAAGAAAATGAAGAGATAAAAAGAAATTTAATATAGAGCATTGGTTCATCAAACGAGATAAGATCCAACCATATGCATGCAGTTGGTTCTCTTACATTATTGAACATAAAAAAAACAAACATAACTGAGAGTTCCAAAAAGATAATTTTAACCGACAATAACATCTGACTGGCATGAACTCCACGTTGTCTTGTTGAGAAGAGTCAAATCTCTATTATTTCTCCCGAGACTCTGAATCATCCTCATCTTTCACCGACTTTGAAACGAATGTAACTGGTTTCTTTGGGTGCTCATTTACGGTCAAGTTAAAAACATCTGGCTTGGAGTAATGTCCGACCACATCAAAGTACAACTTAGCTCTTGCTATGTCACCAAGATCTAGACAAGAAAGAAGATTATTGATATATTATTAGGTAAGAAAGTTTTGATTAACTAAAAAGCCTATGATAAATAACAAATAAGAGTGTAATATACCAAGATCAGCTGTGATGAGACCCTCAGATTCAAAGTTAGGTCCCGCGAGAACCTTTCCCAATGGTGAAATAATGACACTACCACCTTGGGAGACAATGGCTTCACCGTTTTGGTCATCTCCATCGGTAAACAGGTAATCTGCATGCTCAGGGAAGTCTTTACGCTGGCAAAACTGGCAAGCCGACAACACGAAACATCCACCTTCCATCGCAATGTGCATCATTGAAGATTGCCATTCCTTGGTACCATCAGCGGTAGGTGCACAATACAATTCAATTCCTGCATACAGCCCGAATCATAATCGTTAGGAGCTTATATTTAAATAATTCTAATTAACGAGGGCAAGTAGGACTAACCCTTTCCGTACAAGGCAGTTCTGTAGAGAGGCATTCTATTTTCCCAGCAAATGGCAGCACCGAGTTTGCCAATGGGTGTGTCGTAAACAGGGATAGTTGATCCGTCCCCATAACCCCAAATGCAACGTTCGAGAGATGTTGGCATGACTTTACGGTGCTTACCCAAGAATCGACCTTCAGAACTGAAGAAAAGGGCTGTGCAGTAGAGTGTATACCCTTCCTTCTCTATAGCACCCATTACCAAGTACACTTTGTTCTTCCTAGCCAGCTCAGCCAGCTTATCTACTTCAGGTCCTGTGTGTTGTACGTAGATTCATCACCAAACCAAACAAATGTGCACCAAAAAAAAAAGAGAGTTAGTTGTGACCCAAGGTTGGTGTGTTCAACTCAATTAGGACTCGCCTTGTTGAGTTAACATCCAATTCATTCTCCAACAAATACCCCTTAGCCGAATAAAAAATAAGGCTAATTAACAGGATTGATCAATTATTTGAATATCATGTTAATATGAACGAACGTATATTCTAGATAATATTACAGCAATTTAATAATATACTAAAGAAAGACTAGCAAAGGTTGACAAATACTTCACATTCACGAGTAACGAAAAAGTAAACAATAATTCAATATGTTCAAAGTAATTCAACATTGCTGATTTTTTTTTTCTATACTAAAATGGATTCCATTGTTTGTTTTTATTTTCGAAATAAGAATGAAAATAAGTAAGAAAAAACATTATAAACAAACGAATTGAAAATGGAAAGTCAACGGAAGGAAAATGAATAAAATTATAATAGAAGGAAGGTTTTGTTACGTACCAGGTACATGAATGGCAGAAGCATGATATTTGCGAAACTCATCACGACCTTCTTCGTTGTGAACACCAACAGCTATACCAAACCTAAACCCACGAGGATACCCACCGATAAACCCCTCCGGGAACACCACAAGCTTAGACCCGTTGCTCGCAGCCTCCGCAATTAACTTCTCCGCTTTTTCTGCAAACTCAAGTAAACCATTTGATATAGTTTAACTGATTTTCCTAAAATGACCACGTAGTCAATCAGGCTACGGCTAAGATGCTTCATGTTGGGCTTTTAGAAACTATGATATCGTTACAAAACAAAAGAAGAAGAAAAAACTAGAGAGAAAATTGTATAACCTATAGTTTTGGGAGTATCGTTATAGACGGTGGAGGCTTGGACGATGGTAGCTCGAACCATGGATGATGAAGAATCGCCGTTAACTTGAGAAGTGTTTTTGTGAGTCGACATTTTCTTCTGTACCAGAAAAAAAAAAAAGATCACTTCAAGTTATGTTTGTATGTTAGTGACACACACAGAGAGACAGTTGGGAAGCATGCAATGCTTCTTATATAGACTTTTTGTTATCTTTTACCAACTGATGATATCATCATATCATATGTAGTAACGTATCCAGATGAGATCCACTCTTATCTTTAATTCAATGTTAATAGATAAGAATGAAATCACTTTGGGATTGCCAGCAAGATGTGGAGAGTCGTTCTTAAAATATTTTTTTATTTCAAATATTTTTACCATATATAATACAGAATTATAAACAACTTACTTTATAAAATAAATTGCTGAAAAATTATTCGATCATTATACAGTGAAACCTCTATAAATTAATAATGTTGGGACTACACCAAAATTTTATTTTTTTAATTAATTTAGAGATATATTAATTTATAGATATACTAATTAAACCAAAACTTAATTTGGGACTATAAAATTATATTAATTTATAGAGATATTTAGTGTATATTAATTGACCGAGTATTAATTTATAGAGGTTCTACTATATGTAAAAAGTAAACTTTTATGTATTTTCGAAATGGTTTGGTTCTAAAGAAACGGAACCGGTCGATTGGGTGAAAAAAGAAATTACGTTAAGAAACTATTGGTGTATTTTAATATGTATATATAGTCTCTATAAAATATATTTTTCTAACCTTGGTATACAAAATATGCATTTGTATGTATATACGTTTAAGTGAAACATTGTAATTATCGAAATGAATAATTGTAACTGTCTGCGCTTATAATTAAGATGAACCAGAAGAATTTTTAGTGATCAAATCATTGTGACAGATTGGTGAATAAATCTTTTGTTGATGAACCATTGTAACTTTTAATTAACCATTACAATTGTTGGTAATATTAGTTATAATTTTTGATTAACCTTTGCAAAATGATTGATACTCATTAGAACCTTTAATACCCGATACAAAGAGTTATAGACATCGACAAGAAATACAATCAGGATAAGAATCAAAATAAACAAAACTAAATGTTAGAAAGAAAGAAATCAATTATTCATAGATTTTTGAAGAAACTAAAACTCGATTTGTTTCTTTTCTATTTTAGCATAAAAAAAAGTAACATTTTATCAAAGGTCAATGTTCAACTGGTAAAAATTCTGTCCAGGTCGCCAATTCGAGTTATTATTAAAAAGAAATTGACATTACATTATGTGATTTTGAGCATCCCAGAATTATGATTTTTGCCGTGAACCTCCTATATATAGGAAAAAAAAGAGGAAGAGTAAGACTTCAAATATCATATCAAAGAGATTTCGTATAATTCAAACCTTGGAATATGGTCGAATAGTCTTTAAAGAAAGTGACCTCGTATATGATTCACTTAAATTTATAGTTCACACATTTTCAAATTACAACCAAGTTAACCAACAAATTTAAAGAGTATTATTCTGTGAATATATATTAGATTTTATAATTTTTTAGAAAAATATCATATAGTTTACAAATTTTAATTCATTTAATGGTAAATGATCCTTTATTTATCAGTTTAAATGAAAAAATTGAAAATAAAATAGGTTAACCTACCAATGTAATATAAATTTTTATATTTAGTTTTAGATAATATATCTATTATAAAATAAATAATACTATAATTATCAAATTTATAAAAGTAGCATATAATTTTATTTTTCGTTTTAAAACAAAATCTTAGTTAATACAGTAGTAATTTATAATAATATTATATAACTAATTACAAAGCATTTAATGATTTCTTTTACTAATTATTTTAAAAAGGTTAATTTTTTGTATATTATTCTCAACAAATATTTTATAGTTATAGAAAAACAAAATTTATTTCTGAAATGGATTTTAAATAATATCTTAATAAATGATTAAGTTTTAAATCTTTCTAATTACATACTTTTAAAATAACATATGAACTGTAAATTAATTATATACTATGATTATAATTTAATAAGATAAATTTAAAGTACGATTCATTTGAGAAAATCCCACATGAAAAGTCATATATGTATATTCTGATAAAAAGATATAATTGGTAATTTTAACAAAAAAAATAATTTTATAGTTATAATGTTTTTAACATAAAATATAATTTTGTGATTTTACAGTTTTGAGAACATGTAAATCTTTTGACGATTATTTTAATTTTAAACTTTTGGTGTGATAGTGTAACTTTACAGTTTGACATAATTTACAATTTAAACATTTATGGAAATGTGAATCTCTAGTTTTGACGAAAATTTTAAAAATTTATTGTATTAAAACTGAAACTTTATGTTTTATTACTTGCAAATGTGTTGCTTTTTTTTTTTTCTAAAAGTCACTATATTAAGTATACAAAATGTTGGAAAATTGATTTTTACCGGTTTAAAAAACATAGTTTTCAAAATTTTGTTGGTTTATCACATTGAGATTATTATATATTTTTAATGATTGTCGAAAAATACCAGTTTTAAGAAAATCGATAAAACAGATTTATGTAATCTGCAGAAATCAATCTCAAATCCGGTGAATAATTATTTTTCCTATATACAAAATATGAGATTTCCTTAAGCTAATTATTGTAAAATCTTGAATAAAACCCTTTGTACTTATTTGAACAACAAAAACCATGTATTTCTTCAAAAAAAATGTTTTTGTTGTCTTGCTTCCAATTCAATAAGATTAAACAAGTTCGAAATCATTATCTAAACAAAAAGAGCACTTTTGTTATGTTTTTGAGTAAATTCTCATTATCATATTTTCGGTGTTTTCATTTCTTTATGGAAAATATGGCTATTTTCTAAGCCAATCTTTAAAAATGTCATTTCATATAAAAGAAAATTCTCATACTTCTATATACAGAAAATTATAATTTCCATTTACGTAAACATATCTACAATCATTTTTAATAAAGGGGGGGGGTTAAATTATGATATAAACATATATGCATTATAAGAAACTATTCTTTACATATAATTTATATAAATATTATTGTTTAGGTCTTAATGCTATTTTATTTCATAAGTTTATTTTAGTAATTATTAAAAGGAAATACAAAAACTAAATGTTAAAAGCACATTATTTCTAACTATAGATTAAAAACTACAAATCCAGAACTCAATAACTTTATTTTCAAGTTTTTCAAAACCTAAAATTACTCTAATAACCAAAAGATTCAACCTAAACACTAAATACTAAAATTTGAAATTTGTTCAAAGATATGCAAACAATTAAAACCAAAGTTGTTAATAAACAAATCTATTTTTATCGAGCAACTGTCAAATAGTTTGTCCGTGTTCAATTGGGCTTGTCTATACGCGTTTCTATGGTCTAACCAATTTAATCCATAAAAATAAAATGCATATAAACAAAGTCCAATTAAACACGGATTAATCATATGACAGCCTTATTCATCAAAACTTATTTTAAAAGATGATTTGGATTATTAATGGATAGATTTGTTTTACCAAAATCCTAACCCATTATAAACTAATCAAATATAGTCAATTAAAATAAAATACGTATAAACAAGCCTAACTAAACACGTATAAACATTCTCTCTCGAGCGATGAGTTAGGCGATTAGGGTTTTACTTTTCTTGCCGCCGCCGTCGGTGTGACCTCACGTCCACCGACGAGAATTTTCTTCTTTCTTCCTCCTCTTCCTTTCTGCCTTACTTGTGGTGATGTTTGTTCAAGATTTGGTTTCGATGTTACCACTCTCTCGCCCAGATCCAGATCCGCCGCCTCTTAGTCTTCCTCCAGATCCGCTCGTCCTGGTTCCACCTCCAGACCCTCCAGACCCACCAGACTTGTCGCTTTCTCGATGTCGACCCTCATTCGCTGTTGCTGTAGCCTTGACGACTAGTAGCCTAGTTGATTCAACTGTGGTGTCTTTTGGAGTGTGTCTCTCCACTGTTCGGTGCAGCCTTCTCCCCGGTCTCGTTTTCCAGTTGGAGTTATGGCTTTCCTCAGCAAGAACCTGCTCTTCCCTCGTCGTAGCTACCGTTGACGCGGGAACTCCTACCCCAGAGTTTTCAGATCTACTAAATCCATCTATTCCTCAGGTCATTCTGCTGTATGCTTTGGATATTAAGTGTCGGTATGACTTATTGTTCCCTCCGATAGAGGGTTCTTTTAAGTCTCTCGTTGACAAATCTCTCGCCTTGGTGCGATTCACTACTGCAGTATGCAGTCTCTTACCTAGTTTCACTCACGATATTGAGAGCTTAATGAGTATTTATTCCTGTGAGTTTCTATCTTCAATGGTTATGGTTGACCCTTCAAGTCCAGCATTCTGTTTTGACAGATATGTGTTCTCAGCCTTGTCTTGTTCTACCGTATCTATGCTTCCCATGTCTTTAGGCTTGAGCTATCCTCTCCCAGTCCCAGTGATTTCTCCTTGTTGCTTTGATTCGACTTGTGGATACATTGGTGACACACTTGTTGTCCATGTGGAACCTTTTACCGCAGTATGCAGACCTCTACTCCTATTATTTCTGGACTTTGATGTTATCAGGTGGCTGTCTCTTCCTTTGTGGCAGGTTGAAGAATTAGTCCTTGAGGTGTCCACTCAGCGGTTAAGTATTGTTGTTCTCTCGACATTTTCCTTTGTGGAACATGTTTTCTTCCCTTACTTTCCACTTCTGTTTAGTGGTTGTGTTGCAGGAAGTATTGTCCCGAAGCTTATAGACACTTTGTTGTCTCGTCTTCGTAAAGGCTTAGCAAATTGGTGCCATGTCACCTATGCATTAATAGCCGTTTTACTGATTGTTCACTCAACACCTGTTGTTGTTTCAATCTCGGGTTATAGATCACTTAGTGTGCTATCTAAATCTCATTCCAGCATTTCAAGCCTTAGTAATTTTGACGTCGAGGTTAGAGGACTCCTCTACGACTTTAGT